AAGGTCCTCTTTGCCGTTGCTATCGCCACTTGGTAGGCTCAACGTTGAGCTCTAACCTGTGTCTGGTCCGATTCAGAATGAGTTTTCTGCCACCGGCACTCTAGCTGTCTCAGTGATTGTTTCATCGGCCTCAGCCCTGGAGAAAACCATGGGGCTGTCTGGGCTCCATGCAATCAGAGATGGTGCTTTGGAGCCAGGCGGTCAATAGCCTTGGTTAACTCTACATTCCAGGGGGCCACCAGGGAATCAGCTGAAAGGCCATCAACATGGGATAAGAGCCATAAAGTGTCAGGGGTGGACCATTCAAATTAGTACCTTGTTGTTGTTGTTGTTGTTTAGTCGTTTAGTCGTGTCCGACTCTTCGTGACCCCATGGACCAGAGCACGCCAGGCACCTCTGTCCTCCACTACTTCCCGCAGTTTGGTCAAACTCATGCTGGTAACCTTGAAAACACTATCCAACCATCTCGTCCTCTGTTGCCCCCTTCTCCTTGTGCCCTCCATCTTTCCCAGCATCAGTGTCTTCTCCAGGGAGTCTTCTCTTCTCATGAGGTGGCCAAAGTACTGGAGCCTCAGCTTCACGATCTGTCCTTCCAGTGAGCACTCAGGGCTGATTTCCTTAAGAATGGATGCATTTGATCTTCTTGCAGTCCATGGGACTCTCAAGAGTCTTCTCCAGCACCATAGTTCAAAAGCATCAATTCTTCGGCGATCAGCCTTCTTTATGGTCCACCTCTCACTTCCATACATCACTACTGGGTAAACCATGGCTTTAACTATACGGACCTTTGTTGGCAAGGTGACGTCTCTACTTCTCAAGATGCTGTCTAGGCCTGTCATTGCCCTTCTCCCAAGAAGTAGGCGTCTTTTAATTTCGTGGCTGCTGTCACCATCTGCAGTGATCATGGAGCCCAAGAACGTAAAATCTCTCACTGCCTCCATTTCTTCCCCTTCTATTTGCCAGGAGGTGATGGGACCAGTGGCCATGATCTTCGTTTTTTTGATGTTGAGCTTCAGACCATATTTTGCGCTCTCCTCTTTCACCCTCATTAAAAGGTTCTTTAATTCCTCCTCACTTTCTGCCATCAAGGTTGTGTCATCTGCATATCTGAGGTTGTTGATATTTCTTCCGGCAATCTTAATTCCAGCTTGGGATTCATCCAGCCCAGCCTTTCGCATGATGTATTCTGCATATAAATTAAATAAGCAGGGAGACAAAATACAGCCTTGTCGTACTCCTTTCCCAATTTTGAACCAATCAGTTGTTCCATATCCAGTTCTAACTGTAGCTTCTTGTCCCACATAGAGATTTCTCAGGAGACAGATGAGGTGATCAGGCACTCCCATTTCTTTAAGAACTTGCCATAGTTTGCTGTGGTCGACATAGTCAAAGGCTTTTGCATAGTCAATGAAGCAGAAGTAGATGTCTTTCTGGAACTCTCTAGCTTTCTCCATAATCCAGCGCATGTTTGCAATTTGGTCTCTGGTTCCTCTGCCTCTTCTAAATCCAGCTTGCACTTCTGGGAGTTCTCGATCCACATACTGCTTAAGCCTTCCTTGTAGAATTTTAAGCATAACCTTGCTAGCGTGTGAAATGAGTGCAATTGTGCGGTAGTTGGAGCATTCTTTGGCACTGCCCTTCTTTGGGACTGGGATGTAGACTGATCTTCTCCAATCTTCTGGCCACTGCTGAGTTTTCCAAATTTGCTGGCATATTGAGTGTAGCACCTTAACAGCATCATCTTTTAAAATTTTAAATAGTTCAGCTGGAATACCATCACTTCCACTGGCCTTGTTATTTGCAGTGCTTTCTAAGGCCCATTTGACTTCACTCTCCAGGATGTCTGGCTCAAGGTCAGCAACCACACTACCTGGGGTGTACGAGACATCCATATCTTTCTGGTATAATTCCTCTGTGTATTCTTGCTACCTCTTCTTGATGTCTTCTGCTTCTGTTAGGTCCTTACCACTTTTGTCCTTTATTATGGTAATCTTTGTACGAAATGTTCCTTTCATATCTCCAATTTTCTTGAACAGATCTCTGGTTCTTCCCATTCTGTTGTTTTCCTCTATTTGTTTGCATTGCTCGTTTAAGAAGGCCTTCTTGTCTCTCCTTGCTATTCTTTGGAAATCTGCATTCAATTTCCTGTATCTTTCATTATCTCCCTCACATTTTGCTTGCCTTCTCTCCTCCACTATTTGTAAGGCCTCGTTGGACAGCCACTTTGCTTTCTTGCATTTCCTTTTCATTGGGATGGTTTTCGTTGCTGCCTCCTGTACAATGTTACGAGACTCCATCCATAGTTCTTCAGGCACTCTGTCCACCAAATCTAAATCCTTAAACCTGTTCCTCACTTCCACTGTGTATTCATAAGGGATTTGACTTAGATTGTATCTTACCGGCCCAGTGGTTTTTCCTACTTTCTTCAGTTTAAGCTTGAATTTTGCTATAAGAAGCAGATGATCTGAGCCACAGTCAGCTCCAGGTCTTGTTTTTGCTGACTGTATAGAGCTTCTCCATCTTTGACTGCAGAGAATATAATCAATCTGATTTCGATGCTGCCCATCTGGTGATGTCCATGTGTAGAGTCGTCTCTTGTGTTGTTGGAAAAGCGTGTTTGTGATGACCAGCTTGTTCTCTTGACAGAACTCTATTAGCCTTTGCCCTGCTTCGTTTTGATCTCCAAGGCCAAACTTGCCAGTTGTTCCTTTTATCTCTTGCCTCCCTACTTTAGCATTCCAATCCCCTATAATGAGAAGAACATCCTTCTTTGGTGTCACTTCTATAAGGTCTTGTAAGTCTTCATAGAATTGGTCAATTTCAGTTTCTTCAGCACCAGTAGTTGGTGCATAAACTTGGATTACTGTGATGTTAAAAGGTCTGCCTTGGATTCGTATCGAGATCATTCTATCATTTTTGAGATTGCATCCCATTACAGCTTTTGCCACTCTTTTGTTGACTATGAGGGCCACTCCATTTCTTTTACGGGTTTCTTGCCCATAGTAGTAGATGTGATGGTCATCCGAACTGAATTCGCCCATTCCCGTCCATTTTAGTTCACTGATGCCCAGGATGTCAATATTTATTCTTGCCATCTCATTTTTGACCACCTCCAACTTACCCAGGTTCATGGTTCTTACATTCCAGGTTCCTATGCAATATTTTTCTTTACAGCATTGGACTTTCCTTTCACTTCCAGGCATATCCGCAACTGAGCGTCCTTTCGGCTTTGGCCCAGCCGCTTCATCAGCTCTGGATCTACTTGTACTTGCCCTCCGCTCTTCCCCAGTAGCATGTTGGACGCCTTCCGACCTGAGGGGCTCATCTTCCAGCGTCATAACTTTTATATACCTGTTATCTTTGTCCATGGAGTTTTCTTGGCAAGGTTACTGGAGTGGCTTGCCGGTTCCTCCTCCAGGTGGATCACGTTTGGTCGAAACTCTCCACTATGACCTGTTCATCTTGTGTGCCCTGCTCGGCGTAGTTCATAGCTTCTCTGAGTTCTTCAAGCCCCTTCGCCACGGCAAGGCAGTGATCCATGAAGGGGAGTACCTTGTAGAATTGTTCATTAATTTTAAAATGTTAAATCCTGTACTAATACTAGCCCTTTTTATGTTCTGAAGCAAAAGTGCATATTCAGAATAGCTTCGGATTGGTTATGCTTTAAACAGTAAAGAGCCTGAGTTGGCACTCTTCCTTTGCAAAGTGAAAACACAGAAATGAGCCCTGGGGATTCTTTTATAAAGACCACCCAAAGTGAAGCTGACCCATCCCTGGTTTAACATTATGACAGCAGTCCTTCAACAGTTCCAGACCCAGAGCCCTAACCCTCACCCAAACAAGCATTTAGGGACCCACTTCATTTGCTTCCTTTGTACCTGAACAGTGGAACTGCTTTTTGCAACTCCATATATTATCAAGCCTTAGCTCCCATCAGCCCTGAATGGGGGGTGGGGGCATAGATGCACCACTCCTGCAGTACAGAGTCCCATCCTGACATGGGCATAGCCAGTATTTTTATTAGGGGGGTAGAACTGACATGACTGGTCAGTTAGTTAAGTATTTCTATTGTTTTCCTTGATTGGGGGGGCAGCTACCCCCACCCCCCCTTGCCCATGCATCCTGACCCAGCAGTTGAAGTCCAGTGATGTCTCTCACAAATTGTTTTCAGCTCTCTCTTAAAGTCCACAGTTTATCTCCCGTTTTACTTGATTGAGCTAGTACAGTTTAGTAGAGCTGCTCAGAACATAAAATCGGAAGCCCCTCATTCAAATCTTACCTTAGTTACAGACATCATAGGTGTTTTTAAGCAAGCCAGTATTTTCTTAGCTTTAGCTGTCACATGGGGTGAGCAGGACTAGTCCACTTTGCAGAGCTGCTCTAAGGAAGCCTGCAGTCATGTGCCATGAATGCCGATGGCTTATGGTGTCCAGGATCCAGGGGGGTCTAAGCAGTTTCAGAAAATTTATGCATTTCATTATTTATGTTTGGATTTTTACTTTCTCTTGCTGCAATTACTGCATAGTTGTTGGCTTACAGAGCAAACACATTCATTCATTCATTCATTCATTCATTCATTTGTATACTGCTTTTCTGGCAGACGTCACAAAGTGCTTTACATAAAGTTATTACAGCAATATGCAGCGATTGAAACATAAGCCAACAAAACAATGGAATATTTTTTTTAAAGCAGCAGCAGCAGCTGCAACTGCTGCCTCTCCATCCCCATGGGATCTGGGGTTCTTCAGAGGCCCCCCTGGTGGCAGTTGCCCAAGGGAGGGGCCGCTGACGTGAGCTGGGCAGGGGCCAGCCAGAAGACCCTTTCCTTCCCCTCCCCTGGGGGGAGGGGTAGCCTTTTTTTAGCTCATCCCCACCAGCCATATTTCTGTCAGGAGGTCCTCAAGACACTGAACACAGGTTCAGAGATGGCAAAGCACATGCAATGCATTATATATTACAATGCTTATTTTATTTTCCCCCGGAGTAGAAAGTGAGGTTTGTTAATCTCGGAAAACCTCAAAGCCAAGAGGCCTTGTGCAGCTGCAGATAGCAAAGCCAGTAGGATTGCCACAGGGCCCTCTTTCTTGCAAGCTGAAGAAAAGTATGCAAATCAAAGGGACAAACAAGTTTCCTCACACGGAAATGCTTGTCGGCAGGAAGCAGCAAATTTTGAGCGGCTGCGGGCTCTGGCAGACCAGCAAGGCTCTGCAAAGTATGCAGAACCCATGGGGCCACCTCCCAGAGCCTGTGGCTTTTGAGTCGTCCGGGGACTTGGGCTGGGATTCACCCCTGTGTTTCCTGCTGAGGACTTGACCATGGCAGACCCTGAACCTGCTGGTAGGTGAAGCAATCTTCTGATCTATTTCAGCAAAAAGGATGAAGCTCATTCTTAGTGCACTGTCAGGAGGCAGGTCCTGGGGCTTCTAATCTGGGGCTGCACTGAAGGTGTGGTTGTGCACTTGCTGGAAAATTCTCACTGTTATTTGGGGCCGGATCTCTGAGAGTAAAGCTTGAGTGGATGAGATCAGCAGTTTATTCAGGGCCAGGGGATCAACGATTTTGTTCGGAACAGAAGACAGCACAAAAGAGACCATGTGTATATACACACTCAGCCAGGCGTCCTCTGCAGTTAACAGTTCCCTCCACCCCAAATGTGGGGAGCAACAGCCTGCAAAACCTGTTTGACCAGAGACAACCTGAGGCAAAAGGGACAAAGAGGTACTGCAATGGGCAACACCACCTCTGCTGTGCAAATACAGCCCCTGTGGGTCTCTACCCAAGGTCAGTATGCAGTCCTTGGTTGTGGCTGGTGCAAAAAAGAGGAAACTAAATGAAACTAGGCAGATTGAGTATAGCAGTGTTCATTTCAGAAGTACTTAGAAAGCAGGAGCAGTTATTAATTGCTTCAGAAATCATTATTATATTCTTATTGTATTCACAGTTGGGAAGAGGGCTCAAAAGGTAGTTGGTGTTATATATTTGTATATATTATATATTTGTTACTTGAAAACTTATTTTAAAAGGCTGACCCTTAAGTTATATCTCTGAAACTGAAGGCATGTGCACACAGCACTAGGTACACTAATTGGAACCCTAATCCTGAAACTTAAAAAAGCAACTTTTAAAACTAATGCTTTTAAAGTTTTGTAGCAGAAATGTCAGATTTGAAATTCTATATGTACACACACACGTGAAATTTTAGAAAACTTTCCTCCCCAGATTTGTTTCAGCTGTTGCACTAGATGTTTGAGTGGAAATTATTCAGGCCATCTGAGGAGCCCTTGCAGGATGGTCCATCTTCTGCCAGCCATGCTCAGGGCTGTCATCAGCACAGATTTCCATTTCTTGGCTGTTTTTGCCTAACTGCCCTTCTGTATGTACACACCTACACATTGGACACAAAATCACAGAGCATCTTAGAGCTGGGAAGGATATAGCGGTCAGGTGACCTGACTCCCTGACTTGGTCTCACATGCACCATATTCATCTTCCAGCAATCCTCAGATACAGGAACCTTGCCCCATAGATCACAATGTTGTGTTACAAGCAGAGCCCAGGGCTAATAGTTTCTAAGCCCCAGAGTCTGCTACAATAGTCATAAGAAGAGCTGGCTGCATTAGGCCGGTGGCCAGTCAAGTCCCGCCTCCAGTGGCCAACCAGATGCCTATGGGAAGCCCGTCAGCAGGAGCTGAGCAGGAGCAGCCCTCTCTCTCTCTTGGCTGTTTCCAGCACAGTGGCGTAGCGTGGGTTGTCAGCACCCGGGGCAAGGCAAGTAATTTGCGCCCCCTAACCCGTGGATTTGCGCCCCCTAACCTGTGGATTTGCCCTAACCCCAGATGTTGTGCCCGGTGCGGCCGGCCCCTCCTGCACCCCCCACGCTACGCCACTGTTCCAGCAACCTGCGCTCAGAGACCTCTTGCCTCCCACAGGGGAGGGAGAACACAGCCACCCAGGTTAGGAGTTACTGAAACACATTATCTCAGTGAATTTCCCTGATCCTTTTTAAAAGCCGCCATTGCCTCTTTTGGAAGGGAATTACGGTACATAGTCTCACAGAGAAAAGCCACAAGGCATTTTCAGTACTGGATGGGTGTGGTTCTCCTAAGCACTCTTAGGGGTTCATGTTCCTATGTGCCTCTGATTCACTGTTTCAGCTTGCGCTACAGCCCCCTTGTATGACCTAAGCGAATGGTTCATATCCCATATCAGGCTTCCATTTCATTCTGTCGGACAGTGAGGACAAGGCTCCGTAGACACTGGCTCTCTTTTTCCATGGTGGATGTTTTTACAGCTCATTTGTGCTCAGCAAGAAGGCAGAAGTTCCACTTCCCTTTGTGCTGCTCTTACCTCATTTCACAGAAAGTGTCAAATAGTAAAACACAAAAAACAACTCAGCATCTTTCCCTGCCTCAATTAGAACATTATTTCCGGTCCTGGGCCTGGCACACACAGAATAGATGTCGACACTGCTTAACAAGCAAGCATTTGGAGGACAGTGGGAGGATCTGTTCCCCATGTATGCAAAATTCACACACCGGACAAGACACATACATGCAAAGGAATGTGGGAATCCATGTGTTTCTGCATTAATTTCTGGGCAGAAGTTAGAGGCACCATTTAAGAACGAGAGGGGTATGTTTCAGGATCCCGTCCAGCCAGTTCTGCAGTTCTACACACTGATTTACAAAGTTACCAGGTTTCATAAAAACAAGATATTGAGGAAGGAATTCAGCGTTGCACTAAGGCCATTATTCCATTAGGACAAGCATCTGGGCTTGACAGATGGAACAATTCCCCCCTCTCCTCCTCCAGTGTACTTTTTGGGGTTCTCCCAACCCCTTCAGAGCCAATTTCAGGGTTCAAGGGGAGGAGCGGGAAGGCCACTGTACAAGCAAGAGCCAATTCCGTGGATGCACCTCATTAATTAAATCCCACACTAAGATTAATGGGGCAGAGCCTTAGAAATAAGGGGTGGGCCTTGGTAGCATAGGGACAGAACCTGGCCATAGACAGAGATTTTGCCTGGGAGCAGTGGGAACAGCCTGTGTCCAGTAGTTTCTGGGCAAAGCCTCATAGCCACAAGTGGCTCTAATAGCAAAAATACTCAAGCCAAACAGAAAATAGCCTATCCGCTGGTTTCTGTCTTCATGCTATAGGCACATCCAGACAGTAACTGTTTTCAGGTGAAATTCTGTCACAAATTCAAGTTGTGCAATTAATGTTGGTTTAGAGGTCTCAAACAACAAAGTTGCTTCTGCAAAAGATCAGACTTTTATAATAAGGAAAATGCACAGGAAAGTATTGGATGACACTTGCTTTGACACAACATCATTTAACTTCCCTGCAAATAATCTGGAATTAATGCTCAGTCAACAGCCATTGTTATCTAAGTTCTCTACAAACAAATCAGGGTGAATGTTCAACACACAGGTTGTCTGGAACCACCACTATTTTCTCCCTCTGAGAGCTAAACTTCATCCCCTGGAGATCTTGAGATGAGTTGTTAGACTTTGGCACCTGGAGACTTATGAGTGACTAGAATTATAAGCAATTAAATGAGCCTGCGTAGTAGTTACCAGGCATGCCCAAGGCATTCGTGTTTGCTTTAGGAAAAGGGCAACTAAAATGTAATTAATCTTCATGAGGGACTTGTGTTTTTTATAAAAAAAATTGCAAATGTGGAATGTGAAGAACTGAACTAAGACTGAAAAAATGAGAAATGAACTAGAATTGACAGATTTGCCCATCCCTAGATATGGGCAAGGCATGCTTATTATGTTTATATAATAAGACATTTAGGCTAAATTTTAGGAAGAGTTCTTGAGTTATAGAGTTCCTTAATATTAAGATAGATATCAGTGTTATAAAATACATTCATGACTGTGCATATTCTAGGCTTCTGAACACATATTGTACAGATGTAAAAATTGGTATTAAGTACAATATTCTGCATACTGTCTGTTCAGCTTCCATTTTAAAAAACCAAGTGTCTAGTCCAGTGTTTCCCAACCGGTGTTCCGCGGCACACTACTGTGCCGTCAGACATTGGCTGGTGTGCCGTGGGAGGGAGGCGGGCGAGTCGGGCGGTGAGAGGCGGCGGCGGCGAGGATCCGCGTCGAGCCGGGGGCGGCTCCGCGGTGGTGGTGCCGAGCGGCGGGGCAGCGCGTGCAAAAGGGAGGAGCGCGAGACAGCGGAGGAGGAGGAGGCCGGCATGTCCGGGCAGCAGCAGCAACAACAGCAGCAGCAACTCCCGGCGACGGCTCCTCAAGCCCTGCCGCCGCCCCCTCCTCCGCCCGCTATCGCCGCCACCACCACAACAGCCGCCACCGCCTCAGTTGCCGCCGTCCCTCAGTCCCTCGCTCTGCTGCCTCCTCCCACCCCCAAAGCTTGGAGGTTCCCCGGCAAGGGGGAGGGAAAAAACTTTCACTTTCGTGCGTCCCTCCCGGCGTGACGCTGCGCGCTGACGTCACGGGGCGGGGCTTTAATGGTGGTGTGCCGTGAGATTTTTTTTCAGTAAACAGGTGTGCCGTTGCCCAAAAAAGTTTGGGAAACACTGGTCTAGTCCTCATGGTTGCAAAAATAGCCTTGAACGTGTGAGCACTACCAGGTGAAATTGACAGTGTGTGTTTTGGGAAAGATTTCCAGTGCTGAGTGAACAGAGTTTCAGTGCCCTGCAAGGATTTCTGTGGACAAAGCAAAATAAATTAGGCAAATACATGCAATTTTTATAAGAGCTGTTGATTTCAACTTGACACAGATTTTTTAAAATAAACTTGGTACATGCCAACTTAAAGCATAGAGTACATATAGCCCTGCATAGCCTGACAGTGCAAAGTTTGGTCTTCCTACAACTTTTATATGATTCAGTGTCTACTGCTCAGAGAGATGGTTATATCAGTCAAATGGCACATGTCAATTACAGTGGTGCCCCGCAAGACGAATGCCTCGCAAGACGAAAAACTCGCTAGACGAAAGGGTTTTCCATTTTTTGAGTCGTTCCACAAGACGAATTTCCCTATGGGCTTGCTTCGCAAGACGAAACGTCTTGCGAGTTCTTGTGAGTTTGTTTCCTTTTTCTTAAAGCCGCTAAGCCGTTAATAGCCGCTAAGCCGTTAATAGCCGCTAAGCCGCTAATAGCCGTGCTTCGCAAGACGAAAAAAACGCAAGATGAAGAGACTCGCGGAACGGATTAATTTCGTCTTGCAAGGCACCACTGTATTGATATAAAGCAAATCCAACCATGGGTGTCTTTGGGATCTCTCCTTAGTAGACTTGCTTTGACTTCCAGGAAGGGAGGAATATCAAAATTAAATATGAGTGGGTGGGGGGAGAAGCTG